ACAGCGAGAGGGGGAAAGATATCCCCTTTGGTTCTGCCCGACAAGATGTGGCATCTGTGGGTTGTGTAACTCAAGTGGAAGGGAATTAAGAAGAAAAGAGTTCCAGGGACTCTAAAAGCAGTCACAGAGAGTTCACATGTCTCTCTGTATCGCGGTGAACATTTTCAATCTGCACTTTGATGTGTGTGCTCTACAGCCAGATTAGTTTGATGACAATACAGAAGTTATTGTCTATAAAATCTACACATGTAGCACAACTATCACAGTGTCATTGGATATGTTGAATATGTCAGGTTATTTGTCTTATTATGTCAGGGTGTCTTTTTAGACATGAATATTCATATTCAATATTCAATCAGTAATTAAAATCTGTTTCTTTACAATTAACTCAGCATATAAACACTCACCTACAGTGCAGCATCAAGGAATCAGGACACATTTTCCTGGATGTTTTAGAGGAAAGAACTTCAATTTCTTATCATCAACAATAATAACAAATCTGTTGTCTGTCCTTGAATGATGGCTTCTTTTTAAAAGTTGATTTCCCTGCCAAGCCAGAACAGTGCGGATCAAGCATGGGTTTTATTTACAACCAAGGTCCCTGCAAGGCCCACGTTAACCTCTCAGTCTTATTTACTTTACCTGCTGGGCTCTATTAAGCAGAGTCCAGTTCCAGAGTTGGATGTAATTCTCCGTACCCTGAGCCCAGATGTCCAGATTTCTTGCACACATTAATTCATCAATCCAGGCAAAGGTTCCTTTAGCAGTCTGTGCTGCATTAGCAACTGTCTCGTAACTCTCTTAAAATCTGGCTTCTGGGGTCGAACCTTTGAGCTTCTTGCCAATTAAGGGCAGTTGTATGGTAAGCAGATCCATTCCTCCTGTGCCTGGAGGAATCACTATGTCTTATTTCATTCTAATTCCACTTTCCATCATGTTTCAGGAGCGGGACATGATGGGAATGGCTTGTGACAGTTCTGACCCATTTGGAGGTCTTTCTACACAACATGAGCCGGTGAACTCTTACTCACTCGCTCAGATTGGCTTTAATGTCCTCGGTGGCCACATACAGTTTTTCATATCACAGCCACCGTTATGGAAATTCACAGTGACCTACTACATCCCAGACTGTCTGGTGAAGGAGGACAGATAGAGCAGCAGCTACCTGATGGATGGTCAACAAACCGGAAAAACATAGCATGTAGACTGTAGACTGAACACATACAAAAAATACCTAGGCTATGTCATATTCTTGTGTGGCAATCTTGTTTGTTACTAATTGTTTGTTTAATGTCTATAAGTTTATAACTTATTATATATATTATAACTCAATTTGTAATAGCGTTATTAAGTTGTTTATTCATGTTAAGAATGTATTGATGCTTCTTAACTTTTTAGGATGCCATAAATAAACAAATCATGTTGGTCGGATTTTCCCCCTTTAGCATAACTTTAACATTTAAGAACATTTTAATTCATAAGGAAGGAATCCAACAGACCACCACTTAATTTCTGGAAAAGGGCTGCAGACCATCTGGACTAAAATTCCATCTAATAACGACTTCTTAACATTTCCAACTGCTGACTTGATGGTTTATTAGAAAGTGAGAAACCCATAACTCTTTGTTATTGAATTACTCATTTCGGGTTTGTTTGGTCCAGATGCTGTACAGCCGTTTTCAGAAGTGGTAAAACTGATGGAAAATGAGCAATTGGTTTGCCACCAATTACTGCTGTTTCGCTTCAAACAGTATGTTGATGATGCATTTCTAAATAGTCATTTCAGCTCAGTGTTTTGGTGAGTTTTATGTTTAATTTGCTTGAAAGGATTACATACTTCTTCATAGGGGATGATTGGAAATTGTTGAAAGCCTAAAGCTTGTAAAACACTTTCAGAAATCTTATCGGACACATTTAAAAATACATATGTCTGTCAGATATACACAATGTAAAATGACAAAGATATACAAATTTTAAATGTAAAGAAAAAGAAATCAGACAAAAAATGTTAAATTGGAGAAATTGGAAGTAAGTACAAAAGTATTGAGATGAAAATATACTTAAAGTACCAAAAGTAAAAGTATTAATTATTCAGAATGGTCCATTTCAGAGTAATCTATATTATTATTATTATTATTATTAGTAGTAGTAGTAGTAGTAGTAGTAGTAGTAGTAGCATTATTAGTATTATTATTAATAATAATAATGTGTACATCAATTTAATGTAGAAGGTGGGGCTAATTTTGAATACTTTATATACTGTTGGAAAGTCCTATTTATAATTTTAATTTATGTGATAATTACGATTAATAATAATCTGAATCTGCAAAGTAACAAGTAACCAAAGTTATCAAATAAATATGGTACAATACAATATTTACTTCTGAGATATAATGGAGTAAAAGTATCAGAAAATGGAAATACTCAGGTAAAGTACAAGTACCTTAAATTTGTATTTAAGTACAGTATTTGAGTAAATGTACTTTGTTACTTTCCACCACAGGCCAAAAACCACCAGGATGAATAAACTTCGCTGAGCATAAAGCTTCTTTGCCATTGATTTTATTCTAGTTTATTCTCTTCAGACTCAAAGGAGAACAGACCAAGATAGACACAGGGCCGTAGCAATGAATTATGGGCCATTTTCAGAGGTAATGACTGCAGGCACCTCTACAAATCCCTCTGATCCCCACTCAACCATCATTCAAACCACAACAAAAACTCTTTGCCTGCCCGCCTACAACTCAAATACACCTTTCATCAAACATGTTCCTAAAAGAAATGATGAGTTTTGTCACCTTGGTAGCTGCAAAAATACACTTCCTGAAAACTTTACTACTGTTTGACATTTAAGCAGTCACATAACACTCTGTAATCTGCCTCACACACTCATTTCCTCCCCCGGTTGTACATTATGACTCTCAGAGCTCAGATGACTCTCGTTGTTTGTTCCCATGCTCGGCTGTGCCGGGCCCCGTGTCATCAAGATGAAAGAAGGTGGGGGGGACTTGCGGGTGGTCGAGACTAGAAGTAGAAAAGGTTTGGCTTGCCAGGGGGGTTCATCCCTCCACTGAACTCCTGAACCCCTCCTCTCCTGCTCATGGGGTAAACCTTTTAACACACGCGTCATTCTCCGCCGGGGCAGGCCGAGGTCTCCAGCCTTTCACGCGTCGGCCACTAATGAGGTTTAAGAATCTCAGAGCAAGTTGATGGGAGTCTGACCTCCACTCAAGAAACTGAGCTACGGAGGGGCGGCAGCACTGTTGGTCAAATCACTTCTGACATTAAACCACTGAACAATGTGTGGTAGTCTGGCTCTGGCGATACACTGAGAGAAGTGATGCTCGCTCAAATGCTCAATTTGACCTCAGCATTTATCTACGTTGCTTTTTGGTAAGTCCAGTGCGATCTGTACTGTACGTAATGTGGCATTTGTGGATTGTGAAAAAAGTCATGTGTGTAATTCATTAAATTATTTCTCCAGAAATTTGTAAACGGCAGCCTAGTTTGCGGATTAGTGCAATAGTGTTGGAATCAAAACCCTGGTTGTTTTGGTGCAGAATCCAGAGCTGTGCAGCATCTTTCAGTCTTTTTCAAACGTCATAGACTTATGCTGATACATGAAATTGTTTCTTAATTTGAATGCTGGAAACTAATGACCTGCTTATAAGAGTTGTAACACTGGCTTTAAGTTTAAGATTTTTTGTCCTTTTCTAAATTTTAATTCAAAACCTCTTAAGACATTCTTGAAAGGGAATATTTTTAAAATAATACAAATCTTGAGTATTCTGCCTTACAAAGGCAGAGAGCAGTAAGTACAGAAGCAGTGAATATTATATTATTATATTATAATATTTTAACCCAAAAATTCTACCATAGAACCCACATAATATCTAAAGAATACAGATTCTGGACTCACCCTTTGATCCTCAGATAATACAAGGGAACAATTCATTTACAAACTACATGTGATCTTAAAGTTCTCTTGTCCATTTAAAACTAGTTTAAGAAAATATGATTATTTACAGGCTGTAGTTTATGGGAATTAAATGTTTCAATGTTTTACAAGGTAGCCAACAATTTAATAAATTAATGTACTCTTTAATATATTAATATATTAAATAAAGAGCCTTAATCACATGAAAATGCATTAACTCCACTTCAGTTAAAGGTTGAGACGGCAGCTACGGTTACTAGCTCAGTGGCCGACTGAGATCTGCTTAGCTAGTTAGCTTTAGCAGGAGTTGTTTACTTTTATCTCCATCTTGGTTTAGCCACTGCATCATTTAGTTATCTGAAATGACTAACTGCTTTTTATTTAGATTTAAAACATTTACAGACATTTACAATAACTAGGGAAAACCTCAAGTTAGGCAAATAGTATTGACTCAGGCTAGTCATCGCTGTTTTACCAGCTAGTGCAATAAGTGTCATGGCACTTTCCAGTCCACAGATTAAGATTACCAAACCACAGTGACATTAGGTTTGGCTTTTAGCTCTGTTTTGTACTTACTGCAAATTTAAAAAGCTGTTTTCACAGAAATTGTCTAAGGCTGTTTGCATTTCACCTGTTACTAATAATTGTTATATATTATTATGTTAGGTTATTGTTTCCTTAAATTTTCCTGCTACTAAAATACCAATTATCAGTAACATTATCATCTTCAAGTAATTTAAAATGAAATAAAAAAAATACCTTTTAATAACTGTTATTTACAGTATTTATTTTAGTTGGCTTTTCATTGCCTATATATGGCCAAACAACTGTAATGTAGGCATGTTTTGGTTCTGTGCCAACAACAACAATAAACTTTTGTCACCAATGATTGGTTTTATGCTGAACATTGGCAGTGGCTACATTTTGCTCGTTTGTGATACCACAGATTTTACATCACCATTGTAAAGAAAAAGAAACAAAAAACAACAGAATATTATGTTTTAATTTAAGAAAATGCTAACTAACTTTTTAATTAAGAAAAACAGAAAATTCTATTCATCACTTTTTTTTTATAACAGATCTTATTTTTTATTGAGGAGAGTCAAGTTGGGCTTTCCATTTTTTAGAAAATAAACCAATGACAATATTACAAATAATGAAATTGTTACATCATTCACAGGGTTACAGTCAATATACATTTATACAGAAATACAGGATCTCCCACATCAGTCACAGTGGTCTGAACCGGCACTGGTCTATAATGGGGGCTTTAAAGGTCCAGGGGATGCAGGGAGATCCCCCGCCTGTACTAGCCAACAGCCAGAGTGGTAGTGGGAGGGAGCAGCTTCAGGGGAAGGGACGGGACAACAGAGGGTAAAATGGGGTCATAGAGGGGAACACAGGTGGCAGGGTGCCATAGTGGTATGAAAGTTTGTGAAACAGAGGGAAAAACACAGGCTTGTTCTGAGCAGCAGTGAGCATTTGTCCATCAGCAGCCTGCTGAAATGTCCTGAACACTGGAGCTTTGACTGCAGCAGGATTCACAGACTATCTGCACCTGAAAATGTCAATTCAACAAGCTACATTTGTCCACCACAACAGTAGAGGGCGCTCTGGTGCTTTGTGCTGCATCCATTAAACAGGAGCCATTTTCTGTCTTCCACAACAGGAGGCAGACCTCTCGCTCTGACCATACTGTAGTTTGGACGGTGTTCAAACGCCCAGTGGGTACAACCTGGCACAGCTCGTGTTTATGCACACTATCATGTAACAGTAACACTGAGACTTAACGGTTTTCCTCCGTCCTTCAAAAATTGGCACATGGTGAGGGCAGGACTGAGTGGTTTTACTTCACAGATGTAAGAGGAGAAAGTACATTATGTTTTGCTGAAGTTGAAGTAGGCCAACGTTGTATGAAACCATCATGAGTGTCATGACTACAGTACATTTACTTCACTTCCAGAGGAAAGCTGTAAAAAGTTCTTAACTAGAGAAACTGGAGTCTGCATGTGTAGATGCCCCTTTTATGGTGTTGTAAAACTACATCTGAAAAGATAAATAATATATTTTGTTTCTGGAAAGTGAACAGTATAAAACAACTGCTCTGAAGGGGAAATAAGCAAGTGAATTAAACATAAAGGGCACAAAAGCCTTTCTGTATATACAAATCTTGAATTGACACATAGTGAATTTAAATTTCCCAGCGATGCAATATTCATAAATATCCGACTGCACTTTTGTCCTGTGAAAACCATTTACAGTAATGATTATTTGTATGATTATTTTATGATAATTTCACTTAAATAAAATATTCAGGCCAATATCAGAGAGGAGATAAAAGAATAATCACCACATAGAGTAAAATTTATTTTAGAAATATGCCCACCAGAAAAACTGCACCAGATGAATTAGTAACTTGGTTTTTTAATAGTCTAGAATTTGGACATTTGGACAGCTCTGGCTTTGGTGTAAAGAAAGCAGCCAGTCTGCTTGTAAAAAGGAAGTCAGAAACACTTGACATAAGTGTGTCAATTTCTTCTCCCAATATTGCTGCTCAGCTTGAAGTGCAACAATCCATCTCTTTTGTGCCATCAAAATCAGAAGATATATAAATACTTCATGGAGTGCTTTCAAACACTCCACACTCAATCAAAAGGTTTTCTTTTACTTTAGATGAAATGGACAAAAAACTAACCCTCAGAAGGAGTAAACCAAGAAGTATACACTGACAGTATGTACCATAAAGTCAACTTAAGCACTATTTAGCACTAAGTATGTCTGCCCACCCTGTTTAAGGTAGTTCCTTAAAGCAACGTTCAAGGATAATTGCTTGATTAATAACTTCAAGTCTTGGCGGTGTCCATGGACAAGCATCATAAAGAGCTTTAATGGGACTAGAGCAGAAACTCAGCAGCCTTGTGTATACTTCAGATTAATTTGATTAAAGTGTTTTTCCTGATGATGGAATATTTGCCGTACCATGACAAGACGTTCAGCCTCACAATATAAAACTGATGAGCTGTTAAGAATTGAGAAATGGAAAGTGAAGATGATCGAAAGCTCAGTTAAAAAGCAAACTTCATGTTGGCATCAATGGCATTTAGGTCACAGCATCACTTCTCCCTCGCCTCTCAGCTATGACTAACAGCTCATGATTCTCCTCCTCCAGTTTCATATGTTATAAAGGCTTCCAGGGAAATATTCATTCTGATGTGTTGCACTGCAGATGAAAATAACCAAGGAGAGGATTATGGAGGAGAAAGAGAATAAAAATCCTTCCACTCCTGGCCTTAAATTCTGTGGACAGCCGGGGATAATGAAAGGTAAGATGACAGGGGTGCAGTAACTTAAGTTTCTCACTTTCTTCAACCAGAGCTTTGGTGCTAAAGCTTTCTGTAGTGACACCACAAAATCTCAGGTCAAGTCTAAGGATTTGGTACAAGCAAACTTGGAAGCATTGTCCAGTGGAGGAATCTCTTTTTTTTCACATAAACAGTGGCATGCAGCTTTAAGACAAGACAAGACACAACTGCCCCACTGATGAGTGTCAGCTTGCCTGCTTCTGTTTGATGCTTTTAAACTCGCCGAGACGTAACCAGACAACTGCCAAATGCCGACTGTGTGGAGATCAGTGGGAGCGGCAGACAGGTGGCTGACAGGCATGTATGTGATCAAGGGGAGAGAGAGGGAATCAGTGCCTGGACAGAGCGGCTGTGATCGGGGTGCGGCCGCCCCGCTGTGACCGGACACATCTTACCGATGGCTCACAGCTGGGCGTCCATGTCTGGCTGTCAGGTCTCGGAGCGGAGCCCAGTAGGAACTCTGCACTGCCGATATCATTTACTGGCTGTGTACATAAACCCCCGCCTGATTCACCGTCATCAGGGAATCATTGCATTGCTACAAACTCCATCTTTCCCCCACACAATCCTTATACCAGGTATACCGACGACAACACAAACAATGGTTGACAGCTGTGTACTCATAAGACAGTATTGTTCACAGGAAGCCATACAATAATGCATATACTGTCTATAAAATAAACCTGTTACAGGGAAATGCTGTTTTATCTACACGGTTTTGTGCACCAACATAATCCATGAGTCAAAATAAATTCATAAGCATTGATGGAAGATCCAGAGTGTTTCTTGGAGTCAAACAGGAGACTCAGTGCAGACAAAAACCCTAAAAGTAATAATAATAACAATTCAATAATATCCATACAGAAATTGCAAAAATATAACACATTGCATTTTTGTTTTAAATTCAACAAATGCCTGATTGTAGTCTATTCATGACTGTGTGTGTAAAATAACCATGTATGGTATCAAAACTTTAATATTTTAAACATAAAATCTCTTTTCAAAAGGAAAACTGGAAGAAAAAGCCACTGAATATAATGCAGCCACATTATACTCTTTAAAGTGTGTCAAATCCAAGCTCTTACCAAGCAGAGTTCTAGTAATTGCAGCAAATCAAAGCACTGTGAAATTAACCACTCACTCAGCATGCTATCAAACACGAGTTCCGACACTTCAGGAGCCACTGTTTCTTGTGGGATGCATGTGCAACATGTGCACAGACGGCATTAGAGATGAACAACGTGAAGGAGGATGCTATAACAGCACATACTGAATGTATGTGGGCTCTGATATAAACAGTAGAACCTGTTTCTTTTTGTGTGAATTTATGTAGGAAGTTGGTTGCTGTTGTTTTACTCCTTAAGCTATTTTTTCATAGGCCAAGGGGAAAAAATTATGGTGACAACAACTTAAATCCTCCCTGTGGTCAGTTCTTCTGCTCCTGAACTAATTGATTATAATTGTTTCTGAGTCATCGCGTTGTGGCAGGTCAAGTGCATCTGATATGTACAGTACAGGATTATGATTGGGGTGCAAAAAGGGAAGAGTTCTATTTGGCAAGCTGTGAGTATTTCGCTGTGAAAGAAAAAAAAAGAAACTTGTCATTTTGTCTATAGTGAGAGGAAGCATGGTGAGACGGGATCTTCATCACAAAATTTCACACAATATAGAAAATTACTTGCAATGAGAAAAAAAAGTTTTCTTTTTCTTGAGTGTGGATTTCACGGTGTGAATTGACAGTCTGAATGAATGTGTTTTTGACATCAGTTTATGCCAAACATTGTCCATTTCATGTTTTTTTTGTTTATTTTCTTTCCTGGGAAAACAGTTGGGAGTGCACGTTGGGTCCCTCAGTCTCTTCTGCAGTTTGCCTTTCAGAAGGCCACAGAGAACTCTGTGTTTCCTTTTGATGTCCAAAATTAAAAATGGCAAAGACAATATCCACACCTTGTAGAGGATGGCCTCGTCTCCTTAACCCTTCCTTGTTTTCTTTTTTTTTTGCCCTTTTAAAGGGTAGCTTTCCTACTCAGTTTGTCTAATGTACAACCTTATATCATCTATAAATTTAGATAAACTCCTTGCCTTTTCTCAGTTTTTCTTTTTTTTTTCTTTACAAAATTCTTTACAAAATTATCAGAACAAACAAACCAAGAAAAATGTTCAACATCAAATAAAAATTGGTGGAAGATTGAAAAATGTGTTGCTGGTCGCTTCTAACCTCCCATGTTTCTAGATCCAAATGTGGGTTGGCTTTGGGCCTTCTGATGTCTCATCACATGGACTTTTTGCTTCCATAACTCTCCACAGCTGATCCCAAGGTTGGAGGGAGAGTCAGGGTGAGGGAATAAGAGGAGGAAAGAAGGAAGTGGAGAGGAGAATGGGGAAGAATGGTAGTCTGGGGGGAAGACCAGACACACTGTAATGTAAAAAAGAAAAAAGAAACATCCACTCCATCCTCCTCACCCTGAACCCTGCATCCCAAATGCCTTTTTTTCCCCTCCTCTGTTCCGCTCGGGAGGGTCAAACCTCCACTGACTGAATCTGGTTCATCTGTGCCCGCATCATCTGGACGCTGTTGAGGATCTTCTTTTGATGGCCTGCTAATGTCACACCCACCCTCAGGATGTCCCTGTGGGGAGAGACAGAAGAAGATGTCAGGCTGATAAGAAAACAGCTGAACAAAGGTTTTGCAGGAGTGTTTTCAACCTACACATTGAATTGGTGACTCATTAGCAACTGTTTGGTATAATTGTTTAATCATACACCTAAATTATGCCTACAAAATCCCTGACTTTGTACAAGTGTACCTAATTATTGATGCTGTTATGAAGGCAAAGGGTGGTCACTCCAAATATTGATTTAGATTTTTCTTCTGTTCACTCAATATGCATTTTCTCAACTGATAAATATGATCTTTAAACATGTCTATTTTTGAAAGCATTCTTACGCTACATATTCTTTTCCACACCTACCTAAAAACATTTGCACAGTATTGTATATGAAAACTAATATGACAGTAAAGTAACAAGCATGATACATGTTGTCATTTTCCTGAGACTGTGAGTGTGTGTTCATCCAACTTTGAGGCCAGAAAGCTTATATAATCACAGAGAAATGTTGCCAGTTTATTGTATTTTTCTGTACTAGTTCTCTACTAACTTCCTAACTGATGTGGTAAACCCCACCCTCTCATGCAAACAAAACAAAATCACAACATCTATATTATAAGTCTGTTGCGGATACAACAGTCATCACAGAGGTCATATGGTTTATAAAAATGCCAAAATAAAAAAAAAAGTTCCTTTGCATCAAAGCAGTAGCATCAGCTCAAAACATAATAATGTACTCACTGTTTGTTGAACAGTTTCTATTCCACAGGACAATGAAATTCCTTTCTCCTAATTCTGAATTGCAATCATGCTTATTGGATTACACATTACCATCTGTTTTGTTCAAAGAATTGAAGCTCAACATCTCCGTGGGTTAATCTCTGGCTCGTGATAGTGTTGTCCATAGACAGGAAATTACTTTTATCTGTTTCTCTACAGGTGGCATTATTACCATGATTATATCTTGTGTTTTAGGAAGTTTTTTCTCCTAAAAGTTTGGGTAACCAACCCCATATTATAATTATTCCTTTAAATCCTTAACTGAGGTCAAAAAGAAGCCTGCTAAACACATGGCAGAGAATAAAGGCCACTGTTATGGCTTCAAGCTATTGTGCCCACTGTTCAGCCTTGCAAGTGCAGTATTACGATCTGCTAATTACATGCAGCTCAGTGCTAGAGTCTTTTATAACGGTATAACGGGCCAGAGGCAAAGTCTGGTGCTCGTTCAAGTTTTAGGAATACGAGACTCAGCGGACCTGACTTATGTGATCGTTTTTCTTATACTTATCAGACCCAGAACATCAGGAATCATCAGCACTTACTCCATGGTCATCTGGGATACCACATCAAATGTAGTGTAGTCAGCGTTGGCAAAATTGTCTTTGTACTGGCCCATCTTGATGGCATCCAGCCACTCATCCACAGTGCTGAAGCTGGAGAAGTCTGGGATGCTGCGGTCCAGGAGGGGGAGATGAACACTGAGGGGGACACAAGCAGGAGCCATTAAGAATAATTATAATGCAAAGTGGCAGGTCAAACATCATAGCCAGCCCAGACCACCTGTGTATGATTCAAACATGAATTATTACATTACATTTTCAAAAGGCTAGACAGAACTTGGAGAATCCCACTGGCCTTATCCATTAACCAATATTTTCCAAACTGATTCCTCATAGAGTCTATTTTCCAAATGAAGTGATAGGCTTCAGGGAGCCAATATATCCACTCAGTGTCTGTGGAAAGCCTGACACTCCACCACAAATGAAAGTACAGACAGGGATAATGGAAATCAGCAAACGCTCGCTCTCAAAGGAAACTAACACCCAGAGCAGAAACACTTCAAAATGTTTTGTTTTGAAAACTGCACAACTGCTTCAATCCAGGTTTCGCCTCAAGCATTCGTGGGAAGGATCTGATTTATCAAACCAAAAGGCTTTAATTTACATAACCGCTCGGCGCCAGCAGAAACAAGAGACACTGTGTTCAGAAAAAAGTGAACTGTGCCATGGATGGCACTGTAGCAGGAGCATGAATTTCCTGTTAGGAAGAGGAAAGCTTTTACATTAGGAGAAAATCAGATGCATAATATTGCTCTTGATGTTATCCGCATCAATGTGAAATGATGCTAAAAAGAAGGCCTGTCTTGTGGGATGCCTAGAGAGACAAAGCACTCATAAGATACCGCACAGAGAGTGAAGGGCAGCACAAGGAAACCAAAGAACATTGATTTAACACTAGTCTACACCTATGGTGCAAGTGCAGTATGTTATGACAATGAGTATTACTCACAAACAATGTGAACACAAGTAAATCACATAAAACTAATTTGATCAACAGCTTTCCTGCCACTCACCCTGAAGATAACGGAGTCATGGCCTTTAACGTGTTGGGATTGCGGATCATCTTGTCGAGGTTGTTGACGATCTGACTGAACTTGGGCCTGTTGTTGCGGTCCTTTTGCCAGCAGTCTAGCATGAGCTGGTGCAGCGCACTGGGACAGTCCATGGGTGGGGGCAGCCGGTAGTCCTGCTCTATGGCATTGATGACCTGCAGGGGGAGACACAGATCTCTAAGGGTTGCTATGAGGCTCTACAAACAGGAGATCGATTGATGGAGAGGAGAGTGTGTACGATCGAGAGGTCGAAGAAGTATTCAGATTCAGATTCAGATACTAAAATTATCAATACAACTGTGTTTGTATAAAAATACTGCATGAAATACTGCAAGCAAAATGTATTTAACGTATCAAAAGTAAAAGTACTTGTACTGTGGTGAATCAATGTGTGAGTAGCATTTTACTAGGCATTAGGATCATAACATAAATGGACGCAATGATTAATGTGTTAACAAGGAAGAAAAAAATGTTTGGTATTGATTTATTTTGACTTCAAATTTAGAAAGCTTTCCTTTCCTTTCCTTTCCTTTCCTTTTGTTTGTTTTTTGTTTATTGAATATTTATATTTTCTTCAAATTAAATCGTCTGAGAAGTTTAAACATTAAATGTCTCTTTGGAACAGATAACTCCTCAACATCTGCAACCCAGTATCTATAGCTGTCAGATAAATGCAGTGAAGAAAAAAGCACCACATTTTTCTCTGAACTGTAGTGGAGTAGAAGTATAAAGTAGTAGGAAATGGAAACTCTAAAGTAAAGTACAAGTATATATATATATATGTACAATGTATTTGGGCATAAATCACCTATTACACATTTCTGCTAGCAGTGACCTCATATCTGGCCTTTACAAAGGATTTAATGCTCTCTTTCTCTGTAAAGCCACATTAAAGATATGTCTGACTTGGGGTGATGATGTTTTTTGTTGGGGGCACACAGAGGTGGTGTACGGTTAACAGGGTGAGACAACCCGGAGGACACTTTGCAAGGACTCACAATCTCCTGCTCATTATCAGGGCCATTAAAGGCGCTCCATTCAGACCCAGATTAATCTCATTCATAAGACCTCCAAACGAGGACCCCGATGGAGCAGAAACACTATCTGCAGCTGCTAATAAGATAACCATTGAGGTCCTCAGTCCCTCTTAGCACATTAGTGTTCTCACTTTCAATTTGAAACTATTTTCATTATCTCTCTCCCCATAATTTGCTCTCTCCTCGGCTACCCAGAGGGAGATAGGAAATGGAGGCTCCAGTCAAGAGCAGAAATTGTCCACTGAGCACTGTCGTGCATTTCAAACGATCTGATTATGTCTCTGTGTTGAGTGTGGAATTTTCATTTGAAACCCATGAGTGAAGCTGAGCTGCTGTTAGGCTAAGGGAAAGCAGATACAATGACAAAATGTATCTCTGAGGAGTCTGACGCTGTAATGAAACTCAGAAGCAAAAAATGTATGGGTGTAATGAGGCATTGTTTCAAAAAGTGTTTAAAGGGGGGAATTTGCCTACAGAAATATTAGAAATGACTGTAGGCAAGTTAAATACATACATCTTGATTGGTCATGTCCCAGTAAGGCCTCTCTCCATAGGACATGACTTCCCACATGACGATTCCGTAGCTCCACACATCACTAGCAGAGGTGAACTTCCTGTACTGGATAGCTTCAGGTGCAGTCCATCGGATAGGAATCTTCCCTCCCTGTGAACACAAAGGGCAACAACCTCAGTGAGGGAAGCGAGACCGAAACCCGACCGTCACAGTGTCCTGGCTCCGGAGAGAGACACTGTTCACGGCAACAATACTGAGAGTAATTCAAACTGGGAGGTGGCTATTGCAAAACCCCTGGGATTAAAGTATGGTACATGAAATACTGGAGAAAGAGGAAGCGAAGAACAGGTGAAGAGGTAAAGAAAGCAGTGTAGGAGCAGCATACGTCAAATAAAACCAACCGGCAGCAGTGCAGATAATGTCAAGTTGTCATTCACAAAAAAATATTTATTAAAACTTATTAGAAAAGGCTTTTTGATCCTGGTTTAGTCATGAGGCTTAAATGTTTCTTACCAGAGCACTCGTGTACGTGGGGTCTGATGTATCATCCTCCAGGAAGCGCGAGAGACCGAAGTCTGACACTTTGCACACAAGGTTGCTGTTGACCAGGATGTTTCGGGCAGCAAGGTCGCGGTGCACATAGTTCATGTCGGCCAGGTATTTCATGCCTGAGGCAATGCCGCGTAGCATACCAACGAGCTGGATCACCGTAAACTGCCCATCGTTTTGCTGTAAAACAGACATAAGGTGTTACAATCCCTTAATGTATGGAGTGGTTCATAAAAAGGAGGTACTACTAGAAATTTGCCTGACATTATGTGCATATAGTTAGGCCTGCAGGATGAATCAATGTAGTATTTTCAGTCAAAGATCGTGGCCTTCTTAGAGTGCAGCCTTAGTGTTGGGGCTGAATGGCTGCAACACAGACTGAACCAATCTAGAGGGGCTGTCTTATTTTTGTACAAACTGAAAATGATGCCATCAGAACTTTAAAGATACATAATCACATTTAAAACTCTACACAAGGCTTTAAGATAAAATATCTATTTATTTATTTTTCACTCAATAAAATTTTATAAGGTTTTCTCTCTTGTAATGACTCACCATTTTTTGACATGTCTACTTGTAACCCCAACCACATGTGGCTAATGTAGAAAAAGTTACTTTGTAGTATTAGTTTCTCTGAAGAGGCCAACAGTGAGGTCTGGGTTAGGCTCGACAGGGCTGGGCTAAGCTGGGTCTGGCTGGCTGTCTACAGCTGTTCCCCTCCTCGGTTTGGTGAGAGGGCTTTACCCCATGCGTGGGGAGTGTCTGGAGCAGTGGTGCAGCTGTGCTTCCAACTGTGCACACCTGCACTCTCCCCACCACCCACCATGATGGCCAGAGAACAGAAGATTCCAGAGAATGGAGCATGGGAGCTCAGGGACGGGTGTGGATAGACGGAAAGGCCAAGAGAGGGAATTGGAAGGGCAGGAGAGCAGGGCCCCGAGCACCGCCATATTAACAGTCAGCATGACCGCTTCGCTAACCTATTTCTTTTTCAAATGCTTTGCTGCTCATTAGCAGATTGGATGCTTCTTCTCACGTCAAGCTGCTCTTCCTCATGTACCACAGCAATTAAACATACTGCATTATTCATGAAACGTTTCTCACAAATACCCACTGCCACCTAATCTTTGTGCTGTGTTTGCATATACTTTAATTGGAAAGATTCCTCCAAAGTCTTAGGTGGAAGAAATAACCAGGAATTTGTAGATCTGTGTCAATCAAGGTTTAGCATGATTTATTTATGTAAAAATAATGTTTTATATCAAAGAAGGACTTTCATTCTCTTTATTTCCTCTGCTTTCCCTATAGTTGGTTCTATATACCAATCCAGCTCTGACAGATCTATTCTCCCAATTCCCTTTCTCCCCCTACCCTGCAGGTTTTTCTGCAGGAGGCTGAAGGGAAGACGATCCTTCAGTAGGCAGCTCAGTATAGACTGCAGTGACCATTTTAAACAACCACTTTCCAATCACCTCAGAAAGGACACAAACCATGTTCAGAGGCTTTGACACCGTCAGCAATTGTTGTCATAAACTGTCACCATGAGGTGCTGCAGAGGTTCCCTATTGTTTTGAATACAATATGCTGTCAAATATGTTTAGCAAACATCTACATATAAACAAACACCCTTCACCGACAGATCAAATTCCAAAAAGAGCTGATGCCTTCTGTCTCAGGGTCGGAGGCAGAATGCAAATAAAGACTCTGAACCCAGTCTGAACAGTGTGCTGACAGGAGCTTGCATGTTTTCTTCTTGAGGATGGTTTTGATGTAGGCTTGCAGTAGAGGGCTTAAACTGACTATCAGTGTGGGTATTAAACAGGTGGAAATCGTTTAAAGAGGTAGAAACTTTTTTCAGGGAATTTAATAATGCTGTTCAATTCTTCAAGTACAGTAATTTATAGTAAAATGGTTATTATTATATGTATGCATTACATACATACTTTACAGTATATACTGTATATAATGCACATCTATATCCACAACACAAAATTGTTCAATGATATTGTACTGCAGTGCATAACTCAACACAACACAACATATTTTTCTTACTACAGGAAAAGCAAGTTTATTTATAATGTGGCATACTATTTGTGTCGCATTAATTAAAAAGTTCTCATTATATCATTTGTACTTAAACTTAAAATAAACCTTTTTTGGCAAAGCTCATACATCCACAATTTCCATAAATCAGAGGCCTTTTTCTGCTCATTCCAAAAATGAAAAGAGAGCAATTAAGATGGATGAAAATTAGAGAAAAATTTGTTTTTATTTCACTAACATCCCAAGACAGATGGGGAAGGAATGTGTGACATCTCATCTCATAGCTTGCTTCATTTTTAAACATCTGACATCTCATTTTAAGTCTAGCAAAGTATTTGAATTATTTATGTGGGTCGTAAATGGGGGAGCATGGCCGGTTCTCTGTAATATCCTCCTCTGGTTAGATTATTAAAATTAAAAATCCCATGAACTTGTGAGCACTGCATATTTCTTGTCAGGGAGCCGGGGGAAAATAAATGCATGATTCCGTACTGCATAATCAGCAGTGGACTAAGCGTGCAGTGAATGCAAAGCAAAAACAAGGTAAAGATAATTTTAAAAAAGTTGTATAAAATAGATAGAGAAAAACAATAAATAGTGAGGCATGACTGCATTGGGATGTGAACATCAGGAACTTGTGATTGACACTATTTTAACTAAACAGGAGAAATTTGGGGAATAATAATATTTACTTAAAGTATGATTACTGTGCTAAACCATGTCAAACAAGATATGCGTGTGTGTGCAACAAGAATATGAATCGTTGTTTGTCAGGAATGTACTTGTAGTTGATTAATTAATTCTTTGAGTTGGTAAAACAACAAAAGAAATATCTGCTGTTGTGTGATTAATAATATAGTCTTTGCATGGGAGGGGGTGACTGCCTCTCTTCAATTTCTGACAGGATGCTAGCAGATATTTTGGCAGTTATTGAGTGTAACAGACACTGACGAACAGAGGTGTCAGAAACTCCCAAAAAATTGAAAAATCATCATTTCATTTTTTTAAGCTATCACAATAAAAGCTCAGAATTGAGACCTTTTAGGATTCAAAGCAGTGAAGCAGCTCGCCCTGTCAGCTTGTGAAGCTGACATTAACGTTAGCTCAAATAGCTACAGTGCAGAGCTGTCAACAGTAGCAGCAGGTATAGTCAGTCTAAAATGAAAAGATTGTCAGATGTGGTTTCCCAGCAGTTTGCCATTATTACCGTATGTCCAAATATGCAACTTTTATCAGTAAATATGAAGTCACTTTTGAAAAATAATATTTCAATCGTATTTATGTCAAATATACGACTAATGTAACATCTTAATAAATTTGAGCTGTATTGGTCAGTTTTCCAACAGAACACTGGGCAAGTTTATTACGAATTTGACGTTTTTCTGACTGGTTTAGAAATAAGAGCCCTGGGAGGACAAGCAACTTTATTAACATTCATTTACAATTTCAGATTCTATTGAAGAAACCAAATAAGTTATGCTTGTCATAATCACATAAATACTGGCCTAGAACTTAATTTGTAGATAATAATCACAAATTTAGATATTTTAACAAATAAAAATAAAACAAAATAAAACAAAAATCTGCTTACTCTGAGGAAGGAGTCCAGAGATCCATTCTCCATGAACTCAGTAATGATCATGACTGGACTGCTCTTGGTGACCACGCCCTCCAGGTGAATGACGTTAGGATGGTCAAACTGGCCCATGATGCTGGCCTCACTAAGGAAGTCCCGCCTTTGCTTTTCTGTGTAGCCAGACTTCAGAGTTTTTATGGCCACAAACATCTCCCTTTTACCTGGTAGCTTTAGGTTGCCGCTGCACACCTCTCCAAACTCTCCTGTGAAGAGATTACATGGAAAAATTCACTGCTATGCGGACGACACTACTCTACATCCACACCAAGACAGAGTGCTTAAATAATATTAATGTTTGGATGACCTGAAATTAACTAAACTCAATCAGGATAAATCTGAGGCTATCCTCATTACCTCCCCAGCCACACTTTGCAAGCTCTCCCATGTGTCCGTCCCAGGTTTTATAACATCCTCTGTTGCTGAGGTCAGAAATCTTCAGATTACTGTAATGCCCTTCTCCTTGGTGTGCCCACTTAGGGGTGAAACAGACTACAGTATTTCCAGAATTCAGCTGTAACATTTCTCTGCCACACATTGTCCTGTCAGCACATCACCCATACCCTTCAACAACTGCACTGGCTCCCAGTTAATACCGCTTTTGTTTTAAAGTACATCTGCTTGTTTATAAATCTTTCTATGCCTTTGCACCTCCCTACTTATCCAGTCTTCTCCATCCCTACACACTTATCTGCTCACTACTTTCCTAGGATGCACATCTATTCTTCACTCCCCCCTTCAGGCTCCAAACTATGGGTGACAGGGCGTTCAGTGTGGCTGGCCTTAATCTCTGAAATGCTCTCCCTCAGGGTTTGCACCAGTGCACATCTGTTGGTTTATTTAAGTTACACATGAAAACTCACCTGTTTAGATTAGCCTCTTTCTTTCTAGGTGCTTTGTGATATACATATTATCAATGTCATCTATCATTATTGTTAGAATATTCCTGCCTTTTCTATCTTTTATGTATAAACTGTAATACCATTTTTTTGTATAGTATCCTTGGGTGACTTGATGCTTATGAAGGTGCTAAATAAATAAATAAAATTTATTATTATTATTATTATTATTGTTTAAGAAGCAATGGTTCTATTAATCTGATATTTGAAAGAAAAGCAAGCAGATTCTATGCATGCATTTTTTATTTAGAAATCAGCTAACAGTCAAGCTATTTTATAGTGTTGTATTCCCTCCACGTTTCAGTCAGATTTTTCCATTACCTGCACCAATGACCTGTTCAATCTTCACACAGGATATATCAATCTCCTTGGCAAACTCTTTCACAGCCTCGTTGGGGTCCTCATATGTGAATGGATCAATATAAATCTTCATTCCTGGAGTCACTTGGAAAAAAGGAAAGAGCAGCTATAATATTTGATTCTTGTGGTCATGCTTACACTCCTACGGCTTGACAGTCAAATGCATTCAGACATGTTAATCAATTCACAATGCATTCACAATTGCAGTCATGGGAGTTGCTGTATGACAATCGGGTAATGAAGGTCAAAAGATGCAGGAGGTAGTGTAGTTGGTGGTTATGACTAGTGCTTCATGGCTACTTTTGTATAGTAATTCTGCCAGCAAGGACATGGTAGCTCCAGTCTTCTTAGATGTGATAAGGCAGGTTAATATATATATCATTTCCTGTGAGTCATAGTGCCATTAACACTCACGAGTAAAACCTGGGCCCTATATCAGTATCGCTCAGCTCCACTCCAAGAAATAAATTGGCTCTCCTAAGCCCTGATGCCAGGTAAATTGGCTTAAGGTGGCCTTTAAGTGTTCAGGGACTTAAGTGTCCTGAGTTTTAAATCCGATTATTCGGCTCTCACCTACACATCAGGCCTCAGGCTATTTGAATGGATACTGAACTCATGCCTGGGCTGCTGCAGAGCTAGAAGAGCATGTACACCGCCTCAAAACCTGGCACACTATGCTGAAGAAACGTGCTGTAGAGATGAACAGATGGAGAGAATCTGACCAGCCAAAACCCCCCATTACTAAAATCCTACAATCTCTTCCCAAGCGGAAGCACTGTTCAACAGACCACCCTCCTATGATGGCAAAGACCACCAAAAACTGGGGCAGAAGCCTGAACTGTGACTGGTGTGAGGACAGGACGCACACAGGACACATTGGCCTCTGCTGTTAATAGCTGTGAAATATCTCTCTTACTGGCACACTTCTCACTGAATCACAAAACTGGTCTTTGCACAGCATGATCGGATTATATTGAAAAAGCTATTACCCTTGAGTGGAATTGACATAAAAGAGATGGAACAGGGTGGTAATTACACAATCAAATACACAAATTATGATGGGGTCATAAACTTAAGATGGAAAAAGGTCTGTGTTTTTCCAATTATGTAGGAGAAAGATGGATTAGCTTTAATATCTTAGACTGGGCCACTTCTCATTTCTCAGCTCTTTCTCCCAGATTTATTTCTGCATTATTGTCATTTAAGCTATGTGCTACTGCACTGAAAGAGAGGAAATCATTGAGAAATCCCATTCATTCTTCAAGTCTTTTGAATTTTTTAACAATGGCAAATGACTCATGTGGCATCAGCATGCTAATGGCGTTAACATGAGTGAAGACCTATTTCTACCACAATGGATTTAGTTAACTATGAACTGTTATGATGCACAGAACACACACTTGAACATTAATTTTGATGTGGTTAAATCCAGGATCCGAGTGAGCAGAGTCAAACAACAGGGAGGATTAATCATGAGAGGGGGACGGGCAAATAAAGCGGTGCTGTGCTGGGCTGTAGCCAAGGACACCAGCATGGAAGGTGGTAGCCATGGAGACAGGTGTGTGAGATGGTAGTCATGGAGACAGGTGTGCGTGGTGCTGAGGGAGGAACCAGTGGTAAACGCAGGCAGAGTGGAGTGGTGGTTTACTCACTGTGGCCGCTGGTGTAGTGCTGCAGTTTGTCAGTGTATTCTGAATCAGCCCTTTCAAAGCCACGCCTCCTGGGGGAAAGACAAAGAACTCTAGCTCTGGTTCATACAGAGGGAGCAGGGAGGTGTAGAAAGACAGATCAAACACCCTCAGGTGTACCTACACTAAAGATATACAAACTAAGATCACATCAAGAGCCAGACCTTTGTAGATAGAGAAGCATTTGTTTGGTTTGTTGCTACTCTGGAAAATGTAGCCAGCCATGCAGTAATGCTACACAAATATGTCTTCGTTTTGCTTTCCAGTGCAGTATTACAGTATGTAATTTAAAATCCCTGTTAGGTTAACTAGGTTAACCTAGGTAAATATCACCAACTTTCATTTATATGGGCTAATGATGGGGGTTGTGTGATGCATTATGAGGTAGTTTGGTAAAACTTCACAACAGAGAATGAAACAAAAAAAAGACAATCGGAAAAAACAATGACCGATTAGACAGAAATGTCGTAATCATAGACAGGAGAAAAAATTCTAAAATATCAAGTATACAGTAGGGATGTACTGATCTGATCTGCTGAATCAGTCTTGGGGCTGATATTGAATTTATTAAGCAGATTGGGGATCGACCACACATGACCAATCCACATTGCATACAGCTTCTTTGACAATGTCATTATAAAATGCAGTGTTTTTCCCTACAGACGTTTTAGTGCCACGGCTGTCTCTAGTCTCATGTTACTCTACATAAAATTTATCCCAGGTTAATGAGGTATTGGAAAAGCATAAAAGTTGCCATATTTACTTTTTTTCAATATTGTTACACTCCATCATTTTTATGATGGCAGAACAGTTTTTATTTGACACAAGCATCACCATAGTATTGTTTTCAACTTCATTACAATTTTGTGCTGGAGCTGCTGTCACCAAAGTTTTAACTGGCGAGCAGCTTGACAAAGACATATTAAAATATCTTTTTAAGTTCTGTAATAGGGCCATCACAGTGCATTAGAACCTTTTTATTTCTTTGACTGTCCGACAGTTCTCCAAAATTTCAATCACGCAGTCTTTCATTTTGTCCTGGCGATGTTCCCAAACTATAATACAATGCAGCATACAAACTGTCATTAGGCCGTCATAATCCAAAATACTGCATACTACTGTATGTGAAATAATCGGTCTACTGTCTCAGGAAAATAATATATTGGGGGAAACCTACCTGTAGAATGAATCAAAATACTGATACTGTAGGAGCTAAGCTGCAGATTTAATATGAGTGGCCCCAGTGGGAACTGAAATCCCAACCTTGGCTGAGTTACAAACATTTGATACTCATTGAGCAGGAGCACCTACAGAACTTTAATGTTAGCAATGTTGACTTTTATATATTATTTATGCTTTGACTGGAATTTATTAAAAATGAATAATTGAACCCAGATAGTTATATACTATTTGCACATATGTTTAAAGTATTAATGAGAATCAGGATCAGTTTGATTGGCCATGTACTGTATGTCTACACATACAAGGAATTTCACTCTGGTTTTTCGTTGCTCTCAATGTACTAACACACAGTCCAAGAACAATTTTCAGAAGATTGATTGAAATAGACATCAGCAAACATCAATACACCTCATGCAACCTTACAGAAAAGCACAACAACTAAAAAGGAGAAGTGTCCACTTTGCTAGCTTGTGCAGATGTTTTATTGTCTTTTAAAAAGACTGGGACAGGACTGACTCACCGGTTACAGACGATGATGATGACGACCACAGCAATGAGGAAGACCAAGCCAGCGGCTGCCGAGCCAATGATGAGAGGCAGCTTCTCCTGAATACTGGTATTGTATTCCTCTATAGAAAGAAGAAACACATAGATAAACATAGTGCCATGCACACACACACGCACACACACACACACACACACACACACACACACTCATAGACAAGCTGAAACATATGGGTAAGCATCTGAGCCACTACATATGGAGGGAGCAATGGGTGACAGACAGACATACGGCTGGGTGAACCAATGAGCATCTTGGCATCTTTACTGACTGCATGGACCATTTTCCAAAGCACATTCAATGTGCTCAGATGCCGCGGATATGGACAAATCATCTGGCAGAAAGCGTGTGAAGTAAAAAAAGAGAGAGCATGTTTGGGTGAGACCCAGACTGATCAGGCAGCCAAGAGTAGGAATCCAGCTACTGAATGGGCACACAGAGGCAGAGCCAGACCCTTCTCTTGAGCACTACGAATGACACAAAACTTAACAATTTTAGCCAGATCCATGGGTTAATGAGTTCCCCACCATGTTACTGGATAGCATAATTACTGTTTTCTATGTGGTAGAACCCAGATTGGTACAATTTACTTTAATTCCCCTAATTTAGAAGCACTGAATGAACTTTTAATAAATGGCTAATAATACTCTATGATGTCAATGTAACCAGATATAAGGACAGTGTTTGTTAATGTACACTATTTGTCAATAATTATAACTTCTCTTAAGACATATTTTATAGAACTACAGTGTTTTACTATATTACCATTCATTTGTTTGTTTTTACACCAGCCTCCACCTATGAGTGCCCACAGATAGAGATAAAATTTTGTTGAAAAATACAGTAATGTACGTTTATATCTGCAACTACATTATAGTGTTAATAACATTTATGAAATATTTATATACTGCTTATATTAAATAGGGAAATTAATGTAACATTTTACCAACATCTTTAACCAAGGAGGGGGAACTCATTATAAGTCTTTATATTTGTATTGTTGTAACCCTAAAGCAGGTATAGCAGGCATGAATTTCCAGCAATCACTGGCAAAGAATTTAAAAAGAAATAAGGTTTAATATAAAAACATTATTAAATATAGTGTTTATTTGAATATTGATAATGCCAAAATGTATATATAATCTATAACACAAAAATCCAGGTTAGACAGTAATCAAATTCTAACAATATAATTTATCAACACCAACTTTTCTTTTTTTGATTTCTGCAAATGTTTTCTTTACTTTCTATAGCATTTTCAGAGCTGTACTCATTACAAAAGTACAATGTTTACTTTAAACTAAGGTAATCAGTGTCTTGCAGCAGGAAACAACTTTTTGGGTGCATCTGGACTAAAATCTAGGTGAAAATCACTTTATCCATCATCTATTTTTTCAAAAAAAAGAAAAAAAAACTAAACCAAAAACAATGAGCCTTACATATCCTCAGTTTACTCAATATTTACAGTTATGAGTAAGTTTGATATATCTTCAGTGCTGGGATCTGTGCGTGTGGCAGCAACAAGGATGTTTATATGAGAGTTCAAACTAATGATGGCCCTGGGCACTGCAGGCTGAAGGAAATGAGATGTTCAGAGGGGAAAACCCAGGCCTTGGCTCTAACATTAACCTACATGACTGATGTTTACGAATGTCCCTTCTTCTCCCAATCATGTCATAGTACAAAAATAAGACAACTTCAACATCATCCTTGCTTATGGTGGCAAATGGCAAAAAGCCATCTTTGGCAAAAGTTTGTTTGGGTGGAGGACATTTGTGTACCACATAAAAGAAGGAAATCTTGAATACTGAAATATGAATACTGAAATATATGAGTATAAAATGTGGGATGTTTCCTAATACTAAAAAATTAGAATGTAATTTCAAGCAACATGAATCTGGATTTGGAGTTCTTGAACTGTTTACTTCACAACATGATTCATTCGCGCAGCTGTCTACATCCATACTATACTTCATGGTGTGTCGGTGGGCCCGCATGAGAAGTGAGAACAGCTCTGCGTGCTTTGGTGAACATTGGCTAAATTCTCACCCTCAGTCATGGTCTGGAAGTACAGTTTGCCACTGTAGCGTCCAAATCCAGCTACGGTGCGGGCCCGGACCTGGAATACGTAGATACTTCCTGATTTGAGGCCACGTATGACCACTGTGTTGGTCTGGCTCCTGATGGTCGTAGAATTATATTCTGATTGGTCCTAGGAGAAGAAAAAGAATGTGTTTTGTGGACATTAGTAAATACAGTCCAATTGCAAAGGCTAACAATTATGAGATGCCATGTAAATAAATAACATACTAGGTTAAGAGCTATTACTCAGAAGGAAGAAATGACACATCAGTACCAGTAAAAACAGCACTGCATTTTAGTAGTAGTCATTATAAAACTATTATGAGAATATTACTGATGGAATAAATTAAGACTGATCAACATCTATTTATAGGCAAATAATATTGTAAATGTCAATGTTATTAAGCCCAAAATACAGAGATAATTCTTGTTTTCTTTTATATTTGGCACTGTGACTGAAATATTGGGAGCAGCAATGGTCTACAGAAAAAAAAGCAGCGGTACTCATCTCTTACAAACAACCACAGTAACAACAATAGAGCTAATTTGAATAATTTACTACTACAAAAAACAACAACATAATGTTTGATAAAGCAGCAGGACTAAAAGAGGCAGACATCCAGCAGCTGCAGTTAAGAAGGTAGATTTGGTGGCAGTTTCAGGTCAGGCGGCATTTCTGAGCCGTGCCTTCTGATGATCATAGCTGTATTTCACTGCCATACTCCTCCTCTCCAGAATGCTGACAGGTCTGAGAGCAAAGACTGAGACTGTTTTAGCTGCTCCCTTCAACCCACAGCTCAGTGCGCACTTCTGAGCCACAGCAGGGGCCGGGACAATTGTTTTGACAGCTCTCTTCAGCAGTGTCAGAGAAGGGAATTATACTCAAAAGTGGAACATCTCAGCGTGTAGATGAAAGCTTGACGAATGTTGTGTATATATGCGGGCACACACGTGTTCATATGTGAGATTTTTTGTTTGTATGTCTGTGAATGGCTGTATGGATTCTAGTGATAGTTGTGCTTGAATCAACGCTGAGTGTTCTTGTGAGAAAATATGCTGATTTGGTGGAGCTTGCCCCTTGAATACTATTTTTACAGCAGTTGGCGTACCATTGTTTCAACCACAAGTCTATGCGCATCAATCCCCAGTGGCTCCTACTGCAGGGCTGAGCGCGGTTTCCTTTCACAGTGACTGACCGTGATTATAATTGAAAGAGAATGAGCAGAAGTTCTAGGCAATGTTCAGAAGCTCAGTCTACATGCCTCCTAGGAGATGCTGTTATGCAAACGAGCGTGAGGAGAAATTCTGAATTTAAATGTACGACTAAACAAAAGAGTCAGTCTTTGCCATTAGCTCTTAATGTTTTTGGTTGGATAGGAAATAAGTGAAAAGGAACTTATGCTTATATGAATTAGTGAGGGCTTGGAGGAAGAGTGTGTCCCTGCATCACTCATACCTTTTCATAATACTGTAGTTCATAGTCCAAGATGACTCCATTAGGCTGGTCAGGCTGGGACCAGGAGAGGGTGATGCTGTCCACAGTACGACTGACCTGGTGCATTATTGATACTGTAGATGGAGCTGTGAGGAGACAAAGACAGTGTGTTAAGGACGAGGCAAATCAATCACCGCAGTCTTCACAGTCACGCACAAAGAATTTTACAGCATCTTTAATCTCACAGCTAAACAGGTTCTGCAAAGGTGTAATAGTTAATGCCATAAAATCTATGTAATATACTGTCTCCTGTTAGAGAGCCTTACAGCTAGAAATGGAACACAGATTGGCAAGTTACAACAGTGGCTAAACCACACAAGCAGTCTCATGGGACTTGGAAGTGATTCATTTGCGCTTGTCATAACACTGATAACAACCCACCTTCTCCAGATAAATAATTTTAAAATCACCAGACCAACATATGTTACATGAAGTAAGACCATTTTGTCGGACACAGAAACAAACAAACAGCATAAATAACAAGTGCTATACTTTTTGTGCAGCGGTTTTGTCCTCCACATTCTAATTTTACTTACTTGTTTATGCATATTTCATTGTAAATGACAGTTTTAAGGGCCATAGCAGAGGTTTCCCACGCAACACATTGCATGTGTTTTAAATTACTGTCAACAATTCTTCCAATTTAAATTTTTGGATTATTTTCTTACCTTCCGGGCACACATCTGTTTTCTGTGCCTTTTAGGAGGGTATGAAAATCTACATTCAAACATTTTGAAACTTAAAGATTACTTCATCACCCTTATTTATTTTCCTATGTGATACTGATCATTGACTTATGTTTTCAAAACTATGTTACCCAAACTTTGACATTTTAAGCTTTGAGAAATTGGTGAACATCAACCTTTTTAATGCAAAAACATTTAAGTAAACTTTTGAAAGAGCTCTGACTATGTATATGTTATGTACCAAGGCAAATCCCTTGAAAATCCTTCTTGGCAATAAATTTGTTCTGTTGTTGAATCTAATTCGTTTGCAGCATCCTAAACTACACAACTAGCAAGTGCAGTCACTGATAATGCAACTTCACAAAAAAAGGCAAAGAGACTGCTGCCTATTAAGTCCCTGCAAGTCTTTTAAGCATACTGAGATGAACAGAAGCCAACACCAAATATTTAAAACCAATTACCAAAATGTAAAATGAACAATGATAATGGTGGACAGATGGACAGGTGGACTTTATTCAATTCAATTCAATTCAATTCAATTTTATTTATATAGCGCCAAATCACAACAACAGTTATCTCACAGCGCTTTTCATAAAAGAGCAGGTCTAGACCGTACTCTGTGATGTTATTTACAGAAGCCCAACAGTTCCCACTTTAATGTTGTTTCATCATATTTGTTGTAAGTTTAATATTATATCTGCATTACAAAGACTTTAAATACAAATTATTTGTTTTTATGTTATTAAGTTTAGTCATGCATTTTCTAACAAGTTATGACATCTTGGTGTCATAGTGTTTTTTCAAGATAGTCAGATTACAAAAGATTATAATTTATTTTTCTACACATATTGTCAAACAAAGCAATGTTAAGACTCAGCAGTAAACAAAATGACTTGTGACTTGACATCATGGGTGGTCTACTATAGTCTTGAATAGCCGGTGACCTAAAACTTTGCACATTCTTTTTAGCACAACCATAAGGTCAGGGGGGCGTAATCACCTCAAGTCCTCCAACAACCATTAAGATTAGTTCAGGGTGCCGTGGGTCAGTGTAAAGCTAAGAGAAGCTGAAGATAAAAAGCTCTGTCTGGGGAGCCTGGCAAGGCCTACAGGCTTCTATGTCTGAGCCTGTCTGTATGTGTGAAAGGGTAGAGTGGGTTGGGAGGGGCGCTGGGCAAGATTTATGGACACCAAGCTTCACACTCATCCCCTACAGGCCCGTGCTGCATGCACATGCAGCCCTCAGCCAGAAGCACAGTGGCTCCTCTGAGTCCCAGCAATAAAGAGAGAAGCTTCTCCACCGACACGCGTTCTCTTTGGAAAATCCACTGACTGGGAAACTACAACTGACACTCCTCTATGATATAAGATTCTAAGGCTGCATGTGCAAGGTTTCTAAATCTTCTTCATATAATATTTATTTTGTTGTTGTTCATATAAAGAAATGCTTGAAACTGAGTGTCAGGTAAACATGTCTTTGCAGCAGCTGTCCTGAAGCAGGGGACAATATATATAGTGTGAGCGCAGTGAGTCAGAGCCAATGATAAAAAGTCCCTTGTTTAACCTACTCATTCTCATCAGCTAATCAACCCTGCCTTGCATGCCCTCGGACCCAAACAGAAGCATCCATTTGAGGCAACAAATTATGATGTCTCGTATAAACTCTGATGGTCAAGGGACTGAGTATGTCCTCATGTACTGTTACCAGCAGATAATAAATAGATGTTCTGTATTTCATCTCAGCAAAGCACTTACACCGTGATGGCCTGTGACTCGGCAGCGTATATACATCATGCCCCTTTTCTGGAGCTGGACGTACAATGTATACAGTATCCAGTCAGGACTCCAGTTCTAGGAATCTCTACCATCTCACTGTACTCACTAGTTTGTTTGCAGTCACAAGACGACAGCCTAATAAGGCAAACAGTTACTCTAAGAGGAACTCACGAGTATCCCATTACGGATGTACATATATTCAAGACTGCCACATGGCCTTTTCCTGCATAGCATTTCCATTAAACACACGGTGCAGCCATGCCTAGTAACCTGATACAGGGCTAGAGAAACAAAGGCAGCTCATGTATTCATGTACAAAGGATGGACACATGCCAACATGAAAAGCTGTTGGTGGAGAACACTGTGGTTTTCTTCAACTAAAGGACAACTTAGAGACAGCGGGATGGCAGTCGCCATGTCTGAGCTCAAGAAACCGGTAAGGGTTGGTGTAACAGAAAACAAACTGAGATTAAATTAAAGGAAGACTTTTAGTGCAAGGTCATTCCTGTGTAAAAAACAAACACAAACTGTTGAAACATTCGGCTTGTAGAGAGAAAAAAGTAATCCAGCTGTGTTATGTATTTCAAGTCAATTAAATACATGCATTTCAAGCTAAGCTGACATTCCACCAATTGACTGTGGAATGTAGCGGTATGCCAAGTCAATGTTTCATTTCAGGAAGGCCTACAGCAATGATACACATATGAAAACCATTTTCATGCATCTAATTCATGTACTCCAAATCTACAAGTCTCCATTGTACTCCAAATCTTAAAGTGTACCTAGAATATTTTCCCCAACTTAATCTATAATTTAAAGGTTTGAGTAAATACTTGGTTTCCATTGTGTCAACATCATTCACTGAGTTATGCAACTAAATACATGTTTCAAGCCATTTTCTTTGTTGTTACAATAATCATTTTTAAATCATGTGAATTGCACCCCATTAAAGACAATTAGAAATGAAAAACAAAGATGTAAAAACATTTCCCAGTCATTTATGTACTGGAAGCTCAACTCATCATGAACTACGTTAAGTCAGATTAGTTTCTTCAAAGTGGGTGAGCTCCACTTGGATGCCTTATTTATAGGTTTCTCCATGAACGCTCTATTCATGTTCCTAAAACTAATGAAGCGGTTATAATGACAAAGACAGGGATTGTAAGTTTATATAATTAAATTAGATGGCTGAATTGGAAAGATAAATGGCCTTGATGAACATGTCTCTAACAAGGATAGTCTATGAGTTTCCCATGTAACAGAGGAGGAGAGAGTGGCAGTAGAGTCACACCCATAAGGGGAGCTAGTGCATCATAGCAAATAAAATATCTTAATCTCAAGCGCATTCCTCATCTCCACACCAAAGCTTGAAATGCATCACAGATAAGGTGGTGTTTAATTTCCCCAGCTGTTCTGACACACCGCACGCAACGTGGGGTTGTGTGTTTAACACCAGTTCAATTGTGGACAGACAGTATTTAATTTATTTTTAAAATCTCAAATATATCCAAATCTAGTGACAATGAACAGTTAATATGCTGGGACCTGGGAGAGACTTTCAAGGTTGTCTATCGCATAGCTTAACTGTGATAGGATTGGAACCTGTTGTCAAAGAATTCAGACCCCACAGCATTACTCAGCCTGGGATCTGATATGAAAGACGCTGCTTTGCAGTGTATTCTAGCATGACGCTCTGGCCTTGGCCCAACATCACAGAATACAAAGGCTCTGTTTTGCCCAACATCTCTAATATATGCTTTAGTGTGTTTGAACACCTAGTGACTTACCTAATAAATTAAAGTTGGGGTTTACAGAGATATTTCCCCTCATTTATATCCAAGCCAATTGATGGGGCATGCTACTGCAAACACACACACACACACACACATACACACACAGGAGTGAGGCTTTTATCAATCCCATTAATTTATTATACTACACTCTTTCGGTGGGCTTTTCCACTCTCACTTTGACCATTTCCTTGTTTAGTAAAGCTGGACTTAAGCCTCACTAGAACATAAGTACTGAACATGATGGGCATCTTCATTAAGAAAGGCTAGTGAAGCGAGACCATTGGAGATGGATGGCAGCAGAGGGAGCTCAGACATGTGATTTCCAGGAGTGAAGGGGTGCTCCAGGACCTGAAGATACCCACAGTAACTGACATTGAGCCATGCTTGGAGGAGCAGGGGTTAAAAAATCACAGAAATCAAAATACTGGCTATTATTTCCTGCAACACTTTCTACTGAAAGCAAGAGACACCACCTCATGGTTTGATACTTTTTGCTTTGGTTCAGTGCAGCATAGAAAAAAGGAAAAATACTCCAACATTTGCTGGCACATGAATCATACGCTTCTGAGAAAGTATATGTTTAAGGCCTTTTATCTGCATTTTTCTAACATCCAAATGTGTCTACAACCATGTGGCGCTGATATGATTAGACGTTCTGGTACAAAGAGCAATGCTATGATTTGGGGAAGATGGGGGAGGTAGCGAGAACAGGTCAGGGCTCGTAAATCCCTTTTCCTTTTCATTGTAAAAATCAGTTTCCCCACAGCGAAGTCTCTCCCAAAGGGCCCAAACCAGCTGGTCCTCTACCAGGCAGCCTCCCAAGCAGGCTGC